ATCAGGTAACACCACCTACTTTAAGAGAGGGGGAAACAAAATTAATGAAAGTTTTTAACTGTTTTAAAATCCTATAAAATGAAAGGTCAGTTCTTTGGATATTTCTGAAACTACAATTATTATTGTCATTTATTTGTTCTGATGTAGCACATAAGAGTCCCAGAACCATGGTTCTAGGCACAGCGCTCACGTGGAAAATAAAGGTGGTTCCAGCCCTTGTTGTACTGAAACACGATGAAAGATATAGAAGGACATGCTAAACAAACCCATAGAAACAAAAGGTTTTGTGCTTCTTAGAATTTTACATATTTGGATAGGTAAATTTTTTAAAACTTACTTTAGTTTCTCCTTAATGAATGTATGATATTCAAGTCTCATTATCAAACCAGTCCCATTTCAAATGTCAGAAACAACAATTTTTAAAAAATGGGCTGTAGTGCATCACTATTCCCAAACTATAAATCCATGCCATCAATCATTACCATTTTAATTGCCTAGTTAGCAAATATTCTTCATGTGTGTATACTAATATGCAATATACTGCATTGAGTAAACATGGCAATAAGACATTAGTTTGATAAAGTTTGCCAAGTTTGATAAAGAAATCTTGATTCTACTATTAGTATACTTTATAAAGACACACATATAAGGCTAAACGACTTATTTTGCTCAGTCCATTTAAAATTAGCACCAGAGAGGAAGGAGTATGACTTACTCATTATGTCCAAACGCTACAGTACGCTTAGCAGTACATGCTGCAAGAACCTTACAATTCACAGCAAATCCTGCCTTTTTCCCCCCGGTTTATTTTAAGAACTTATCAATGGAAGAACACTTCCAACTGCGTTAGTCTATCAGAAGACAGCCTGGTTCAAGCCCGTGTTCATTTATGTTGTATACCTGCATTGATATCAAGCAGTGTTAATTTCTTCTGACCTTATGGGGTCGAGGAAACAACTTCTCATTAAAGCCTTGGCACCACTAGGAAATTACATAAATATAAGTAGTTTTGGTACTCCATTGGGATTTAAATAAATTTTTAGCTTAACCTCATAAAAACCCCTTCTATTTACCTGGAGGTTACAAAGGTATTGTGGAATTCCAAGACCTATGCTCCCTCTCCAGCAAGACATTTAAGCGTATGCTTAAAATTGAGCATTTGAGTAAACATTTTGCTTGTCTGAGAGCCTCAGAACATGCATCATGAAAGGGGTGACACACTAGGCCAGTACCTCTATATTCCTGCAACAGCTCTGGGAACCACACGGAGGAAGTCACAAGGCCTTGAAAATTCGAGAATTTTTCTACAGTATTACAGTTTGCTTCCCTACTCCCTACCCACTCACATCCTTCTACATCAAGAACATGTCTACATAGTTTCACAGGCAGATGAAAGCACATTTTTCCTATGGTGCAAGCTGACTAGAAGCTATGTGAAATTATTTCACGTTCTTCTGAGCCTTGTGAATAAAGCACCTGCTGAAAGGTACAGAATATTAGTTCGGGCTTCGTGCCTGATTTAGACAGTTTGCATCTAGCTGAAAAACACAGAGAAAAACTCCAACACGTTCTGTATTTTCTGTTAACAGAAGCACAGACATATATGCATGCAAACTACAGGAGCCTGTGGTTATAAGCAGTGTCTTATCTTACTTTGTAGAAAACACAAAGGGGTCATGAACCTCATAATGCTAACTCCAAGAAAGTTTTTTTTAGTTTATAAACTCCTGAAATATTTTTAGCTAACAGGTAGCAAGCTCAAGCAGTCACTTGAAAAGCCAGAGGACTTTTTTAGCCTTTTATGATTTCCTTTTTTTTTGGGTAGCTACTTAAAAACTAGATTCTCCTACACTGATGCTTCTGCACAGAAGTAGTAAGTATCAAACTTTTTTGTGCTACTATGTGGAAAGCTTTTGTAATCTCTACAGAGACATCACATCAAATGAAGTCGCTTTGTGGACAGCCTTACTAAGTTTGCAAAACAAAGTGCAGCCGGCTTTAACAAGATCATTTAAAAGGACAGCAATAAAAAGTACCACACCGATTTTTTTTTGTCTGAAGCTGGAAAAGAAGAGGTGTAAGAGCTGATGGAACTATCCATAACACACCGCTGGCATTCACTTGAGACTACTGTAAGAAATTAGCAATGTCAAGTTCAGGACTTGGCTCTGAGTGTGACATTTGAACACGACAAAGAAAAAAAATCTCCATGGATTTTCAAGAGAATTGTCAACGCTCTCTGTCTAGCAATAATAGGCTTATTTTTACCGGGTGTGACCTCAAGCATCAGTTTGTGTCACTCCTCCACAAGTGGCTGTAGAAGAGCTACACCTGGAAGGAGCCCCTACGCCAAAGCCAGGCTGCAGAGTCGGGGTCCGGCTTTCTCTTAATGGTGCTCCCTTCTCCTCTCCTGTCATAATACATTGAATGGGAAAAGGGGGGAGGTAGCAGCATCCAGACAGCCTGGAGCCAGTGCAGAGGAAGCAGCACAGCTATGGCACGTGGCAGGCTGGAGGAGGATGAAGAAATAAAGGAAAGAAAAGAGGAGGCAGAGAAACACGTGGAAGAGACGTGATAACTGTCATGATGCGGCATATTTAACGATCAGCCTCTGACCATCATGCCCCAGGCTGCTGTGCCCACACACCTCTGTTGGTGTGTGCGACGTACGTGTGTGCACATGCACCTGCGTATATGTGCCTGCGTATGCCTTTGGGGTAGGAGCTGGGAGGCTGTAAAGGAGATTTAATAACAGGAATCTCAGCCTTGCTTGTGACATATTTATAACTTTCTACGCACTGTGGGTCAAACATTTACAAGAATGCCTTTTGCTTCTGGTAAAATCAACCACAGGAAGGGCAAGGAAGGATGTAGTGGTGGCAAAATGCAGAACCCGCCATCGCCCTGAAGAGTGCAACGACAAAAACTGAAAGTCTGAGCTCCCCAAAATAAACTGTCTGCGTTTGAGGGCTGTAACAGCAAAAAGAGGAACTCTTGGTCTTGATTCTGCAATTACAAAAAGCTGTAACTAGAGCAAGTGGTCACAAGCAAGTGTCAGGAAAGCGACTGAAGAGCCACACCGGTTGTAGAAAAAATAAGCCAGATGAACTGTGAAACTGTGAGGAGCACAGCAAAGAAATATTATGTAAATCAGGTCAGCTAAGCTGAGTGGAAGGCCCAGGCACCAAAAAGCCACTTCAACACAGCAAAGCATAAGAGGGCATTTGGAGAGTGAAGCCAGCAAAGGAACCCAGTAACAATGGCCTGACTGAGGAGGGATCACGCTTGTATCCTGCCCATCCCAGGGTGAGCCAAAGGGCACACATGGAAAAAGTTTGGGGTCAAAGACCAGCAGTTCTGTGCCAAGAATCATAGTTTTCATGAGCAGAGGAGAGAGAAAGGCCCCAGATTGCCTGCCCTTCCATTGCTCTGTTTTGGTATGGGGCTTGACATGGGTGCAAAGCTATTGTAAACCCACACACATACTGCGTTACAGAAATGCAAGAAGAGGAAAACAGTTCTTTTTTTAAAATAAGATGGATATTTTTACAGCACACAGAGCCAATCATGCCACTTAATTGTACAGAACAGGAAGGAGCTCAGTAAATTGCTGCCATGAGCCTTATGCAACCAAAATCCTGACTACAGATCAGGCATTTGGAATAGCTGTGGAGTGGCTTCGTGGGCCTCCCCAGCACCCCGAATATGTATCTAGGGACAGAGCTTAATCTACACCTCAGCTAGCTACTGTAACCTTGGCAGCAACCTCCCTGGTTAAATGACCCCAGCAGTCACTCCATATACTGTTTTAGGCCTATATTCCACTTCTCAAAGCTTATTTTCCATTGTCATGAACCCTGTTAAGTCACCTAACACAAACTGGAGGCAGAAAACACAAAATGCCATCATTTCATTTTGACAGGCATTTAAAGTTTCAAGGAGTCATAGAGGGTAAGGCACTGCAGATACTTTCTAAAAATTTTATCATCTTTGGTGGGTATCTTATGTACATACAGCACAAGAGTGCAAAATGGTCATCCATAACAACAACATGATAACAAGACTTACTTATTTAAATATGATGCAAGCATGTGAGCACGACTCAATAACTGTTCTTCCATTCCTTGTTTGAAAGAAACATTCCATAATACTAGTGTAACTATAGATTGTTTTCTTTTCTTTTTCCATTGAGTATTCAATTCCTAACAACACTTAACAAGTACAATGAATGTGGAACACTCCCTATCCCTATCTGTTTATTTCTTCTTAGTAAATATATATTTTTTTTAAATTTGGCCCTTTATGAAATACCAAGTGCTACCATTTTTGATATAATTAAAAAAAACCCACAAACGTGGTCTTTATTTTTTCATTTAAGAAATCTTTTCAATAGTCTAAACACAATTGAAAAATATTCTATTTTTGATACCATCTGCTCTAAAAAATTAATATCCCATTAAAGAAAAACCTTCAGTATCCATTTCACCTTTACCAGTAGAGAAGCAAAAGTGATCAGAAAAAGCTTGAGGGCACTATGACATAATTCAAAAGGAGAACACAGTGAAAAGGCTCAATTATTCTTTTTGGTTAATTAGTATATCTAAAATAATATGAATCTTCTTGATTCAAGTTCACTTGGTATCACAATTGAAGCTACTATTTAAAATATACCCATAATGATAACTTGATTTATGATTTGATTGATATGAATGAGCTGTTAATGTTAAAAGAAGACAAAGTCAAGTGTACATTAATGGCTTCGCTCTACATCATTATTTCACACCAAGAGAGCCTACCAAATCCTGCAGAGTGCCTATGCATATAGTGAGACTGCTTACTTGTCCTGCTCGCAGCAACTTTCCAGACCAAGTCATGCTGCACACAAACATTAGCCAGAAATCACAAGAAGGGAAAACTCCCCTTTTGATTAGACAGGTTTTGTGCAGAGTTTAACCACGTAACACTTTTCTAGAAGCAGTCACACAACAAATAAGACATACCTGATGCGCCAAAATATAGATATTATGGCCAACATCTTTTGGGGAGATGCCATCATCTCCATTCTCCTCCTCATGATCACATTCGAGGCCTTGGTTATACGCATTCTTCATCACATCCACCTGTAAGACAAACCCAACCAAGAAGGGATGAAGTAACTGTCATTCTCAGGAAAAAAGCACCGAACGCCGTGTTTGAACACGCTTGCTTTATTCAGCTCAAGCCTGGATGGGTGCCCTGCAGTCCTGCAAGAATAGCGAGCAGCCTGAGAAAACACTTTCTGAATAAAGACAAGATTGAAGTATTCATGAAGCCCCAAACTGCTACATTTCTCATCAGCAAAACTTCTGCAACCACGAGAAAGGAAGAGGGACTTTCTGAGCAGGTGTTTTCACATATGCTTTTAAGGACAGATCTACAGACACCACAGGTAGAGTCTGGTGGCACTTCAAGTGCAGCCATGGCCTCTCTCTGGCTAGAGCTGGCTGCAACGTCACTCAGCGTTTACCACACAGTTTAACAGAAAAAAAGTCCAGTAAACCAAAAGGAAAAGGAAGATACAGATCTCGGCATGGTACAGGGGTAACTCCAAAATATTCAAAAGCCTCTTATAGGACCAGCATGGGGGGAAATCCTACATTCCCCATGCATTCCCCCAAGGACAGCCCCATCACGCTCACATGCCCCCATGGCGATGACTCACCGAAACCAGCACGGCACTGGGCTTTGCCCAAGGGCAGGGGCTGATGCCCACAGATCTCCCCACAGAATAGTTTTTTCAGGATGTTACATGTTCAATTGGATGGAGAACAATTTCTCCAGACTCACAGTCTACTTAAAATTCCTGGAGACCTATACAAGAATCATGGTTGTTCCAAAATACAGCAATAACTGCTTGTAACTCTGTGTGTTTGCTCATGAGACACACACATATATATATAAAAAAATACAACATACATGCAAATAACATATATAAGTTATATGTCTACACACACACTCCTGTTAGCAGTGTTTCACAAACTGTACAAGCTTCATTTCCCAGCCTCTAACAAAGTGTACTTGAAGACAGTCTGCCAGAGTATGATAATTTAGCTAGGAAACAATTACAGAAAAGTGCTTGGAACAGATAAAAATAATGAAGTCGTAAAGACTGAAATCATGCATGCTTGATCCTTTTAAAGTACTTTTTGTGAATTAGTACTATCCTGATACGTTGTGTCACTATATGCTGCCAACACTTTTCAGCTTAGATGCAGATCATTTAAAAAATGTTTTAATGACAGATTTTTTTTTTTCCAGCCAAAAGATTTATGAATATTCAGAAGTTTTCTCACCAGTTCCCTTGGTCTCATGTTGAAAAGGATTCTTTCCGCATTCTCACTGTCGTGCCTGCTTTCCATAATAGCCAGCAAAAGCTTGGAGGCATTGTCCTAGAGATACAAAACCAAGTTAATGGTAAATTTAAAAATCTATTTCGTGGATTAACGACCCTTGCATTTGTTTTAATTGAGATTATGAGGACCACTTTTTTAGCAGATAAGATTTTAAACTGCTTGCATCTTTTATTTTACTGACATATTTAATATGGTTTTTATCCCATTTTAATGTTAGCATATGGTAAGGCTAACTAACCCTGCACACTATATCAGAAAAGGTATTTTAAATATCGAAAAATATTCAACTTTAATACAGAGCCTTGTCCTTTACTGTGCACAAGAAATGAAATCATGTTTCTTTTTCTTATTGCCCACCTAGCAACTTTTGCCACGGCTTTTTGTTAAAACAACACTCAACAGAGGTAATTATAAAATGTATTACATGAAAGGTTTCATCATTCAGGCAGGTTTCCTTCCCCTTCGGTTTTTATAAAGTCTGACTGGTTAATATTTGAAAGGTTATAAAATAAATTGTTTTCATACATTCCTGGAATTTTGTTTCACTAGCAAATATTCCTGGGGGAACGTATAAAGATATTCTTTACTTTGTCAGCTGGCTGCTTTTCACTGAGACCTCTCCCAAGCATTACACAGCATGAGCTTTAGCAGCAGTAACCCAGTAGTGCCTTAGACTTTGGAGACCTGTCTGACTTCCAGTTAAATCAGATGGTGTGAACAGGAGAGGGAGAATGGTTTTGGAGGTTTGACTGCTTTCTGGTAGAGCATGGTTGGTTTGGTTCACCTGCCACAGCATCCCCTCATCATCCCCCATTACCGACCAAGCTGTGGGAACACTAGGAAGCAGACGGCAGTCCCATGATATAGGTAGGGGCCAGTAAAACTCTGAACCATCATACAACCTTGTTCTCAGCTGCTTATTGCCATACATCAGCGATTCAAACTGAAATTTCTCAGTGAGGGTGTGCCTCCGACAACTAGTGTGGGCAATTTCGAAGGAAAAGGGCTCAGCTGCTTTTGGGACTGAGGCAAAAAGAAAGATGTTCTTTTCTGCATGTTCAAGCAACTTCTGTCTCAAGCAGCCTTTGTTTCTCCAAGTTTTGATGGCAGTGCTGAAAATCTGGAGTACTAGAGGCCAGGATAACACAGTCATGCAAGTTGTAGTCCCCAGGGAAACCCAGCCATATTTGTCCAACTCATAAGCATTTAAAAAATTACAATTTGAATACTATACTGCAGAAACTTGCTAGTCTCACAGTTAAAAAGTCCACAGAGTTTCTTCTTCGTGGGCACAGAATCACAAAGCTATGCAGGGTGGATCAAAAATCATGCCTTTGAGGTTCTCCTCTGGACTGGTCTTTCAGCAGTCTCACCCTCTACTCAAAGCAGGTTGCTCAGGGCTGTGAGAAGCTGAGGTTTGAACATCTCCAGGTGGAGGACTGTAGGACGAGAAGTCAGTCACAGAAGGAAGGGGTAGATGGAAGAAGGGTAGATTAATAGAATGAGGATTGATACACCACAGGGGAACTAGGACCTTCTGGAAGAGGAGATTGGGAGCTGAGTTGAGAAGCCACGAGAGAGGAGCCTGGGCTTGCCAACACAAGAATGAGACTGAGACAAAGAACAACAGATGAGAAGAAAAGAGCAGACTGGGAGTGGCTGAAGGGGAACAGAACTCTATGAATTTTTCCATAGCTCCCCTTTCATTTTGCTCCAAAAATCAAACCAGGACCATCCATTGGAAAGGTCTAGTCAAACTCTTTACCTTGCAATCTACATTGCAAAAGTTTAACATGCACAGTGAACGAGACCAGGTGGAAGGAAAGGATAGCATTCTAATTAAGACTCCTAACAGGGTGCTGCTCTGAAGAACTGGACAATTCTTCTTCTGCTGCAGTTTCTCTTACAATGGTGACGAAGTCAGTTGAGGCAGAATTGGTAGGATCTCAAACTGAGGAGGGAAGGGGACAAGACAGGCTGCAAGGTAGCTTGAGGAGGAAGGGGAGGAAACAGTGAAGGAAGCCATCAGTCTACTCACTCATGGCTGAGGAGGACTTTGAAGGTATTTCCCAGTGCAGACAACTCTGAGGATGGAAAGAAGTCTGATGCAGTGAGGAAAGAGAGAGGGTGGGTAGGACTTCGTGTCATCAACAGCCAGCTTCTTGCTACTGACTCAGCAAAAGTGGCATGCCATAGCCTAGAATTACAGCAAGAAGGCACATCCTCCAGGTTTTTTCTCTCTGATCACTTGCACATGACATTGAGATGCTCATTTGACTACTTGTTTTTCATTTTCTGCATGCTTTGAGACCCTAGGATCTGTTTTCCATTCCCAGATATCAATGAGGAAAAGAGGAACTTGGAACGAACAGTATAAAGTTCTTCATAACACATCAGTACTGTGAAAAATCAGTTCCCAGGTGCTACAAACAGGACAGTTCAAAGTATTTCTGGCCTTCATTTCTCTTTACCTGGGTTCCCATCTCATTTCCTCATATGAATTCTGGAAAAATAAATGAATGTGTAAAGCACCTAGATTGCTCAGAGCAAAGTGCTAGGAGAAAAGCCAAAAAGATGCTCGCATTAGACTGTCTCTACCCTTAGACTGACAACATCTCTTCATCCTGCCACTGTATAGAGTGGCAGATATTGAGGTCATACTGTGTGCCAGCACTTAAATACCAGTCAGTAAAGAAGGCCAGGGGGTCATACTCAAAATAACAAGAGGCAGAACAGAACATTGGCCATCTGTGCACTCAATGAACACTGTCTACACTGCTCACTAAATGATTTGGGAATCCAGTGGAAAACATAATCCATGAAGATGTAATTAAATACCACATCACAAACTATGTGCAAAACAAGCTAAATTAAGATGGCATGTGAAAATATAATTCTGCATTGCCTTTGCTTTGGTTGAAGAGTATGAGTTCAACATAAAATGTTCCCTGAAAACAGAGTCTGAGCTTGTTTGTATGTGTAAGTGTGTGGGCCTACACACTTTGCATTCTGTATTTTCACTGCAAAATTTACGTATTTGCAACTTCAGAGTTGCCTATGAACACTGACAGATTGTCAATGTTAAACATTACCTGGTAAAATCAGTTCTATATTATTTGGATGTGTTGCCAATCAAAATAAAAATCAGTAACTTCTTAATTTGGATGTAATTCTTGACATCACATCTGGCCCAGCACCATGTTCAGTCCTGGGCTCCCCAGTACGAGAAAGATACTGGAATGAGTCCAGCAAACAGCCACAAAGAGGATTAAGGGAATGGAGCATTTTTCATATAAGGAGTGGCCGAGAGATGCAATTGTTCCGCCTGGAGAAGGGAGATCTTATTGTTGTGTATAAACACCTGATGGAAGGGAATGAAGAAGAGGGATCCAGACTCCTCTCAGTAGTGCCCAGTGAGAAGACAAGAGGTAACAGACACAAATTAAAACACACATGAAGAGACATAGATTTGTTGGAGCGTGTTCAGAGGAGGGCCACAAAGATGATCCAGGGGCTGGAGCACCTCTGCTACGAGGACAGGTTGCAGGAGCTGGGATTGTTCAGCCTTGAAAAGAGAAGACTTTGGGGGGACCTAATAGCTGCCTTCCAATACCTGAAGGGAACCTACAGGAAGGCTGGGGAGGGACTCTTTACAAGAGTGCCCACTGATAGGACAAGGGGAAATGGGTTTAAGTTGAAGGAGAACAGATTTAGATTAGATTTTAGGAAGAAATTCTTCAGTACGAGGGTGGTAAGACTTCGGAATAAATTGCCCAGAGAGGTTGTGGATGCCCCCTCCCTGGAGGTGTTCAAGGCCAGGTTGGACAGAGCCTTGAGTAGCCTGATCTAGTTGAGAGGCATCCCTGCCCATGACAGGGAGGTTGGATTAGATGATCTCTAAGGTCCCTTCCAGCCTATGCCATTCTATGATTCTATGATTCCATCTAAACACAAAAAACCACTTTTTTACTGTGAGAGTGTTCAAACACCAGAATAGGATGCCCAGACAGGTTGTGGAGTCTCCAGTTGTGGAGATATTCAACTGGACACACGGTCAGGGGCAACCTGCTCTAGCTGACCCTGTTTGAGCAGGGGGTTGGATAAGATGACCTCAAGATGTCCCTTCTAACCCAAACGACTTCATGATTCTGTAAAATCCGAATAATTTCCACAGTTTGAACCTTTGGTGTCATTCACCACAATTTTTGCTATTTAGATAAGAGCAAGGCATATATAGTCTCCAATGAACAGAGCCAAAGTGGTCCTTGCAGCGATGTCACTAAACTCAATTTTTGGTTATTACATAGAAATGTTCTACAAACATTTGCCAGCTTCATGGCAATGGCAAATCAGAATGGCACTGGAGTTACTGTAGCTAGGTCTTCACAAGGACTGAAATTTGGACTTCAAAAGAACTGTCTGCATGTTCTAAGTTAAACATCTGCTAAGTGTTTTGCTTGAGGGGGGCTGAATTACAGCGCCATTCAAAAATGTAATTACAGTTATTAAAATCATGTGTAAAGGACTGTTGAGTCAATGTTTCGTTGTACATGAAATATAGCTATATTAATTATTTTATTAGGCATCCATAATATTGCCAATATGATGCAATTCAGCTACCACAATGTATTTGCTGGTTTTGGGGAGGAAATAGACCATCTGCAATGGAAATATTTTATTCAGAAGGCAAGAGAAGGTGAAAACCCAAGGCTCCTCCTGGACAAATTCTACCCTACTTGGCACACATTATAGCTGCGGAGCTCCCCTCTGCATGCAATGGCACACAGACCAGAGAAACATATCTATGAACTTATCCAGCTCTCCAGAAAACAAAAAACAAAATTACAAGCCCTCCCACTCTAATCTTTGTCCTTCCTCTCAGAGGACAGTGAGAAGGGAAATAAAATACAATTTACTTTAACCTTCTTTTCAACTTTATTTGATATTATAGGTCATCTGATATATTCTTTTTTCACGACATCTCCTTCTCAAGTAATTTTTTAGGAGTCCAGTATAAACAAAGAATGCCTGACTTGTTACATGTCTGAACAGTGTTGCTATTAATCCTGTGAGATTTTATGCCCACAACATAGACTCTTCATGCTAGCTCTTTTGTGTCTGATTGGATTTTTTTTTAAAAAGCTGATGGCATACTCCCAGACAAAACAGCGGGTCAAAAGGCGTGTGGTAGAGGGCCTGATAAGGATTCAGAAGTTGAGCTGAATTCATTTGCAACGTTTGTTTTCAAAGGCTGCTGAGTATATCACGCTATAGTAAGATTAAGTAAATGTCAGGTCGCCTAGAGCTCTTTCATAGGTATGTCTTCTATTATTACTCCAATTTCAATAAACAAATTTACATTTACTGTACCTTTAGCTGAAGCACCAAGTCCATGCAGTATTTGCCGAGAGGGTTTATGTCATTCAAGATGAGTGCAATTATAATATCAATCCCATTAGATTCATGGGTGGCTATGCAAGTCTGCAAAATAAGAGGAGAGAAGGGAGTAGGGGGAGAGGGAAGAGGAAGGGAAGGAGGAGGAAAAAGAAGGAGATGGGATGGGTGGAGGGAGGGAGAGAGAGAATACGCACATCAGCAAATTTCCAAAAGGAGGACCCAGAACACGAAAGACTTTGTAACAGCAATGAACCTCCCAGCCAAAGCAGAGCACCCTGAAAACGTGCCACATGAGGTGCTGGAAGAGACTTGTGCAGCACAGAAATAACCTCAACGCTGCCAGCAGTGAAGAACATAAGCAGAAAAAAGGTGGTGCAAGCTAAAACACGCCTGCAGTGAATCATGCAGGACTTGGCACCGAGTGGTACAAGTCAGAGACAGCAGGCCACAGGAGCACTGCCAGATTCAGCTGAACACACGTGCGGAGACATAAATGACACGCTCGAACACAGGCACAATCAAATCTGCACACTCAGATTCTTAATTTGCATTCAGCAACCAGTATTAATATTGCTGCTACAGCATGAATTATTTGCAAAGATTAAGATTTTCTACATGCATCTGGACATGTCTAGCACAGAAGGACATTTCTGGACATGGAATTCAAAACCGTAGTTATGATCAATGGTACTTCCCAAATGGTTTTACAGCAGAAATTTTGGACCTTCTAAGCCTTGTAAATAAGTGCCAGTTATACAAGCCTATGGTATTTTTTTTCCTAGCAGTTTTATAGGACAGTAGCATAGAAAAAGTTTTCTAGAAAGACAGAAAGAGGGGGCAAAATGAAAATAAGAGTAAGGAGCATTTGCCTCTGAAATAGACTTGCAGTAATTTGACATAACTAATCTTTCCCTTCCCTTATCAGTGTCACTCAAGTAAACTTGCTGGAGAATAAGTTAACTTGAAACATAGGGCTTGGGGTTTTTTTCATCTCCAGTCCTGTAATTCTTTTATTTTTTTTACAGATGTTTTTCTCCATCCATTAGTGAATCAAATATCACTGTGTAAAATTTAGTCCACTAAAGGATTTTTGTTTGTTTGTTTTTAAAGTATTAAGTAAAGGCTGTTGATTACCAGTAATGGCAACAGAAGCACTTTGCACTTTATTTGTGCATGTTAATGAAGTAGCATTAATACTACAGGTTTTTCTCCAGCTATTTCTAGTATCGAGAATAGATTGCCTCTGTAATTTCACTCACCACAACATTCCCATTGCTAATCTATAGTAAAAATTCCGAAATTCCATCCACCGTGACAACTTTACTACAGTTCTCTTCAGATCAAATACAGCAGCATGTAACTACATTCTTTACCTTTCTATATTGCCTCAGCACGGCACTGAAGAGACATCTACCAAAAGTCACAGTTATATGACTTAAAAAGACTGCAACAAGCAAGGTACAGAAGATTAAAAGCATGATTTTTAGTCTCATCCATTTCACTACTGATATCATAATTAAAGATGCTGATAGGTAGCATGGTAGGATAGTAAGTTAAACTTTGTGGCAGTTATGTGAATTAAGGAAAGCAAATGTTAGCAACCTATATAAACACCAGCAAAGGCAAAATGTATGAAAATTAAGAAAATAAGATTATGTATGCAACGTACTTCCACAACTGTGACTCAAAATCCAGTCTCACACAAAATGAGGTTTAAGCCATGGAGTCACAGACATAAGACATTAAACTCTCTCCAAAAGGACTAGAAACCCTCCACACAATCAGACAAACTACAGGGAGAGACTATATTGAGTTCTGACTTAAAACGATTGCTCAGGCCTTATGAAAGCTTGAAACGCGTTAAGCCTAGTCATAGGAATTAAGCGTGAATTTATATTATTAAGAACACTGAAAGGTTTATAAGCACACAGATCCATACATTCAGGTATATTCTTCTGCATCCACAAGTTATTTGAGCCCTACCTGATTTTCATGGCATGGACCTTGGCAATATTCAGTCAAGCTTTCCAGCGTCTGGTTCACAAGAGCCACGTTCCTCTCATTGATGTAAAGCCCCAATAAGCCCAGTCCACCTGTTGTGCTTCCACAGATACAGTCCAAAAACTGTAGGGTCTCACAAACAAGGTTGTAATTTGTTTTATTGTTCTGATGTCTTAAAAAGTTCTGGCGCACGGAGAAAAGGAACACAAAAAAACCCTCAACAAAAACCAAGAGAGTTGGAATCAAGTCAGACAGTGTCTTTCATGAAAACACTACAGGGAACAATTTACGACCATGTGACCACTGTACCTCAGGTACTAAGTACACTACTCTGTAGAAAATATATTATGCCTTAGTGCAGCAGTTGAGAACCATTATCTGATTAAATCAGTAGAGAAAGAAGGGCTTAGGAAAGTGAACTTTGCAAACATCTTCACTGGCCTTAAATGTCTTGTGTATGTCCTGCATGTAGCCCCCATTCATCTTTTTATCACCACCCTTCTCTTGGAAGCTTCTTGCCAAGCAGCTGAGCAGGTACAGCAGCACATGACGACTGCTCCTGGGCAGTGTCAGCGCAGAACGGCAGCTTAGTTCAAACCACCCCCATCGCTGCTTTAAGGGAGCCTGCTGGACACGGCACTGAGGTGTATTTGCAGAAAATTCATTTTGCAAAGGTTGCTATGGGGACAGTAATTTCTACCAGAGGAACCAACAACAGGGACACACGTAGCATCTTAAAGCCTTCAATCGTAACACCTAAGGAAAAGAGCAGTACTCAAACTTTGCCCAGAAACTTCCTTTGGTCTTCAAGCCCGTGGTAAGCAATCCACCATTTGTGCACAGCAACCATACTAACAGGGACATTTAGACACTTCTCAATTCCATGTGACTATGCTGTGGTCCTCAAGCAATTCTGAGGACATAAACATGAGCTCAAACAGAGCGTGCAAATCTTTCTTGAAAAGGGTTGTTTATCCCTTGAACCAAAAGAAGAAGGTTTTAGACACCCCTGTTGTGCAACAGGAGCCAGGCACAGGCACATTTTTCTTCCCTTATGAAGTTCCAGCTCCTGTAATGCTTCTTTGGCAGCTCAGCACAAAAATACTTTACCTGGAGCTCTCGGTTGTGGTTCTCACACAGCAGCTGAAGAAATCTCAATATTGGCTGCATGATTGCAATGGCAGGGCTCATGATTGTTTCCTCTGTGGACTTCTCCTCTGCATTTGCAGCATCTGTTCCTGAGCCCATAAGATCTATTTCTGGGTCCATTTCTCTTCTATACACAGAGTAAGCCTTGGATGTTGCAGAAGATGCTTCTGTTAATTGTCCTTTCATACCCTCTTTCAGATGCAGGGTTGAATCCTTTACTGAAAGGAAGATAATTTTCCTTTATTTTTAAAACTCTTTCTCCTCATTTGATTAAACAATAAGAAAACAATAATAATGAATGCAACTTTTTCTTTGTTGGTGCCTAACTTTTTGAAGACCTCTAGGCAACTTAGGAAGAATATCAAAGCAACATTCATGCAGGGATAGCATGTTCCAAATAAACCACAAACCAGAGTGAAACAGAACATTAAAACAAAAAGCCCTACTATTTCTCTCCCATATACAATAAATGATGGGAACAATGGAAGGAGCACAGGGTGGGAAAGCAGTTCCTGTGCTCGCTCTTGTGAAATAGCCCCATTAGCTGCAGCCTCTACTTCTGCTTCTCTGAAAATATGGTTCTATATCTTCTGCTGGTGTAAACTGGCATAGCTTCACTGATTTAATCAAAGTTAATTCCCTGGAATCAGTTCAAGAGATGGCCTACAATTCACAGAAAAACAGACAAATGATGCGAATTAGCAATGATTAATATTAAAGCTTATTGATCAATGCAGCATAGTATCAGCTGTGCAGTACACGTGGTTTGAATATAAGACACTTCTTCCCCCTTTTATGTGAGTGCCTCCTTACCTCTCTTTTTGGGAACAGATATGGTTAGGTCACTATCATCATCTTTCTTTTTGCTCCCCAAATCAATAGTGTTCACCGTCACTGTCGATCGTATCTCCTGCTGAGCAGCTTTCATGCGGTCATACAGGACTTTGAAGAATTTTTCTGACTTTTTTTGCTCCTTCAATTGCTGGTAAGTTGAATACTGAAAAAAAACCCCATTTTTTAGACATCAGTCTTCTAAGGAGTAAGAAATACAAAAATACACTATTTTTGTGAAAGAAATGATGAATAATTACTTCACTTACACAGAACAAAATGTTGGCCACTGACTGACTGACCAAAGTGATATACAAGGCTGGTAACAAAGATTGACAATAACATTTTTAAATTTTGATAAAATGGTGAATGTTGCCATTTGCAATCTTTACAGTGTCACAATATTACACCTGAAGTTAAATTACTTTGTGACACTCTCCATTTTGCCAGGCATTCTAGAGCTCCTATAAATTGCTTCTAAAAATTACAGTGAAAAGTAATTGTTATTATGTAACAACAAGAGGAAGCATGAAACATCCAATGTGTAATATTATAGCTTAGATCATATACATTCTTTGTACTTTGCACAGAATTGGAATTAATATTTTAGATTATGAAGTCCAGTCCCTTACTATTACTGTCAGGCGGAGTACCATTTTCAACAGTTTACAAACTCTATTTTAAAGTAAAAGCCTTTTACAGCCCCTAAAAATTCATTTTAGAAAGCTGCAACAAAATCTCACTTCTTTAACATTTTCTGGACACTCTTTAAGGAGGGATTCCTCCCATTTATAATAAGTCTTGCAATGAGGTATAAGTTGGCTATTTAGGCTCTCTTCATAGAATCATAGAATGGTTTGGGTTGGAAGGGACCTCAAAGATCATCTAGTTCCAACCCCCCTGCCATGGGCAGGGAAACCCTCCACTAAACCAGGTTGCTCAAAGCCTCATCCAACCCGGCCTTGAACACCTCCAGGGATGGGGCATCCACAACTTCTCTGGGCAACCTGTTCCAGTGTTTCACCACCCTCATTGCAAAAAATTTCTTCCCTATATCTAATCTAAATCTGCCCTCTTTCAATTTAAAGCCATTGCCCCTTGTCCTATCACTACATGCCCTTGTAAAAAGTCTCTCTCCAGCTTTCTTGAAGGCCCCTTCAGGTACCGGAAGACTGCTATAAGATCCTCACAGGCAATGATGAGATACGGGGAAATGCAGGGAGTGATTCATACCATCTCTCCTATCTTATGACATCTCTGCCATTCACAGAGTAAGAATAAAAAAAATCATCATATTTGGCTAAAGTTGGGTGGGAGGGATATCATTCACAAAACCTAGAATCCATAGTTTAAAGCAGTTATTTCCTATGGAATGGGATATTGGTCTTCTGAAATGGCCGGTTTTTCTCTCTTTGGAGATTCTGATAAATGTCCCAAATCGTTTCCAGAAAACAACTTAATTTTTTCACTATAATGAACTTCAAAGTATTGTAATCTTTAATTTTACAAAAAGAGATAAGAAATAACTGGAGATAATGCTCAAATGACAAAGACCAGATTAAAAGAAGCATTGTGCTACACGGAAAGGGACAGTTGAAAAATGTTTTCTTCTATTGAAGAGGCTGCACTACGAGATATTGCACAATAACATATTTACATTTGTATGATAGGCATATTATAGCGATAAACTTTTCACAGCAAAACTCACAGCAAAAAGGTTCTTTTTATTTGTCTCCAAACTACATGCATTTGAAAATCAATATGTAAATAAGTAAAGAAAATAAGTACCTGTGTTTGCGTATTTCCACCTTCAAGCAATGCAATACCAAGCAAAATGCCTTCTGAGAAAATTCTGTCATTTTTGGTGTTTACTATAACATCTATGACTAGTTCTGATGCCCCTTCCTTATCCAGAAGGCACTGAATATCAAACATGGTTACCCCAGACTTATCTGAGTCTTGACCCGAAAATCCACCTGCAAAGTAGACAAATACATACCATTCATGTTTGTTTCACATATATATACGAAAATGAATATTAGTAATAATAATTTGTCTTATGCACACGGTAGCAATGTAATAACTTTCATTTTGAAATTCTGTTTGAGGAAAAATTCCCCTTGATACAAACAAGATTTTTGTGTGAAACTGTAATGTTGGGTTCCAAGAATAAGAAATAAAACAAAACCCCACACCATTTTTCTGACATGATATTCAGGCAACAAAGAAGTTGGAAATGATACTGATTTGTCCACAGAACCCCTTTTTTAATTTCACTGCTGCATATGCTAAACTGTGTGTATGGCCAGTGCTCTAAGACCTCTTTTAAATCTGCTTTTCAATCTCAGGCCTAAACGATGTAAAGATTGTGTACTGGTAAATCCACTCTGGTTAGGGTATGACCTTCTAGCTAAATGCTGTTGCCAATATAACTCCTAGACCATTAACATCACGATGATGTTCTTTAAGAACAGAGACTTGAGTTAAACCAAATTAAAGGTGCGGTTTTAAGGAATTTTATTGAATTGTAGTAGCTCATTAAATCAACCGTCTTTTTTTATCACAGATTATCATCTTTCCTGCTCTACTTACTTTTATACAGATGCAACTGCAATTAGGAAAAATATAGTACTGCTTTAATCAGTCAGTACTGCTTTGATTAAATTGATTAAAATGGTTCAGACTTTGTTTGTGATGAAGCCATGCACACACACACATATATATATGCACACACACACACTTTTTAGAGAGAGAACTAAAAAAAATGGTAAATCTTTACTCCTGTAATCTCTCCTGCTTGTTAGGGACCAAAATTTGGTGTATATGTCCAATGTCTACATGGAAATAGTCAAGGAGGATCAGTTGGGTAGCATTTGGAAATGCCCTCAAATCTGGGCATGCCTTTAATACATGCTGAAAATGCAATGGCAAGTATTTTCATCTAGCTCTAAACCTGCCTTATGCCTCGTTTCCTATGACCTACGTTATTTTAGGTTTTCTTAGAAACCACTCTGTAGTAACTTTCTGTGGCTTCTATAACAGAATCACACAACAAATTAGGTTGTAAGGGACATACAGAGATCATGTACTCAAACTTCCTGCTTGGTAGTTAGAGCAGGTTCCTCAGAGTCTTGTCTGGTAAAGTTTTAACAAGAATCGACACATTCTGCAGCCTCTCAGGGAAATCTGCTACATTGCCTAACTAATATCTTTGTAAGCAGTTTTTCCTTATACCTTTTTTTTTTCCTTACAAAAATAAAGGACTTGGAATTTAAATTTGTTTGTTTGTTTGTTTCCAGAAACAGCAACATCTTTGTTGAAATGTTTTGTGCTTTGCTGAACTTCTGGATGTGGATTTACTGGCAAATTGAAACGGTGTTACTAATTGGAATTGAATTGAATGATTTACTGGGGGGCATGAGGAAATTCCCTACTTCGTTTACCGTCAAATGCACACCAGCCATCTCAGACAAGTGCGTGCAACTCAAAAATAGGAAAAGTCTGATACTACTTCTCTTCTAAATGGTTACAGAACATATTTGATTTATTCACCAACTGAATCGCTGGAGCACTTCCAATGTGCCTATTAGAAAAAATGGTGCTGCTAATTTTGTTCTCTTTAAATGATCTGTGTTGATTTACCTCCCACTTGTGCAGTCTTGCTGTAGCTGGCAGACAGAGGCCCATTCATACCGCTTCCATATTCTCCTTTAAAGTAGCGATATAGGAGTATTTTCCTTAAAGTGTTGCCCTTTAAGAGAAAGATAAAAATAGAAGAAATTAAGAGTTGTGGCCAATTTCCTTTGTTTGAAAAGCAAGCTGTTTAACATAGATACATAATTTATTAGGTCTTTCTGTTACAATTAGTAAGCATACAAATAGTAAAGCTGTCCAGAAAACAAACATCTAATGGTCATATCTAACGAATCTCATGTGAAGACTTCTAAAATACTGTTGTATAAACTTTCTTTGAAGTTTCTTTTAAACTTATTGATTATAAATCAAATACCTCCACCTCAATAATTCTTCCTGGCTATCTGCAAGATGTGTATATTGAAACAAGTTCCACAAAGAGCCAACGCTCTGCAGTCAGTGTGCCTGTGCCCTGCTCTGCCATGGCAATACTTTCTTCCTATTTTCTGCAGCTCAGTAGTATCACTCCCTTTTCTCTGATCTCAGCTAATCCAGCTGATCATCTGAAAGAAGGTACATCGCATGAAATATTAAAACAGAGATGTGACATTTGATAGAATAGCTTAAAAAGCATTCTCTGTATCTCCTTGTTCCTTTACTTCCAAAACCATAACCAGTCAAAATTTGCATGCAGCTCTCTGAAGATCTTCCCTTTCATTTTGCTTATGTTCTGCAACACAAGATACGTTGGATTAAGAGTCGGGCGTACCAATTACTTGGCATTTTTATTTTGCCTTCAGTCTCCTGGGAATACCTGCAGTCAACACTCAGCTCTACAGAGGCAGAAGGTGACACAACAACTGTAGGTGTATGTGTAACCTAAGACTTTACAAAGAAAAGAGTACAGTGAGGACTCCAATGATTACCACAGAAGGGGAAAAATTGTTCATTTCAACAGCTTGGCAGCAAAATGGGACAACTTCCTCTTTACTTTTACTCACCTAATGGTTTTAATGAAAAACTGCTCTTAAAAATACGCACACCAGAAGCATTCGCTTACTTACCAGCTCACCAGTGCCTGCACATTAGTGCAGCAGTCAACTTTTCAATCGAAACACCTCTGTGGATACCGCAGACAGTAAGCAGTGGGGAAGCAAGTCCCAGACACACCTCAAGAAGCACTACTTGCACTTCCACTTCTCTGTTAACTTAGCAAGATTTTCAAGAGCAACCACACATTGCAGTAGGGCTTCACTGCTTCATGGACCTCAAAGACAATGGGCTTGACCACCTCAAACAAGAGCCAGAATGCGGTATTCTGTATGTGTAGTCTGACAACACAAACCAGCCATTCTTTCCTAGTTCTTGTATTTTGATGTTTTCATTTGATAATAGTCTATACAGAGTTCCCTCAAACAGCCAAGAAAATTGCAAGGTCTATAGTGAAATATCAAAAGCTATAAATACAATGGCTGCAAGAAAAATGAAAAGCAACACCTACACATCTGCAGTGCCAGGGAATTTATTAGGTGGATTTTTCCAGGTGAGTTTAAGCCAGCATGCTCTACACTACAGAGGAGGACAAAGAACCAGAAGCCTCTGAGGACCTCACACAGAGACAGATTCCTTCCCAGCCTAGGTTTAACCCTGCATGCATGGACAAGGTACACTAACCAAGCTCATAGAGCTTTCAGAATGACTAAGAGCTCCAGCTTCTCCTGCTCAACATCCTGTCCTTAGCTGTGACCAAACTGCAGTGTCCTAGAGGAAAGTGAACCTCATTTTCCTCATCTCCTGAAGAAGCCAAATGTATTATTGAAGAGAAAAAAAGTTCCCACCAGAACTGATAAACATGGACTGAGAACCAGGATAAAGCCCCTTTTCAAACTCACTCAGGCATATATATTGCAGAATCATAAAATCGTATCATGCAAATAGGATCACAGAGCAGAAATTCTTCCTAACTCCAGACGAGGACCCAATCCATAATGGGCACTGCATTGAGACAAGATCTTTCATCAGAAAGGCTGGCATTTGCCATACCACTTGATTAACCACTCAACTTGAGGCAATATGCTCTACCAGCAATCTATGCAGTCTGTTGATGACTAAAAGAGTGTCATGGTAAATTACATAAACAGTCACAGTGCAGTCATGGGAAGAAACACCAAACGCCATCTATATATATTTAATACCTATGGTCAGAAGCTTTATTGTTCCATCAAAACAGACTTTATTTTATCAGGAAGAACATTTAAGACCATGAAATAGCATTTGACTAATAAACTGAATGATGTAGCACTTGGGTCTTATTGCCTGGAAGTGATGTTAACACATGTCAGATCTCCTTCCTGCCTTGTTACCCTCACAGACACCAGGAGAAGCAGTGATATGAAGATGCTTCTCCAGCTGGCTATGGAAAGGGGAATCCTGCTTCACTCATAGCCAAACTAAGGCATGGACTTCAGGTCTTGTCCCGAGGAGCAAGTCTTAATTTTTAGGATTCCTGCTCTCTTTCACTCCTTCTCTCAACCTCCCACGAATCCAGATAACACTTAAGAGTTCTCAGAAGCCAAAGTGTCAAAAGTCAAGGACATTGTGTTTGAAAAGCAGAAATGTGGTGGAACCTCTGCTTTGCCTGACAGCTGTGCCAAAAACGTGCCCTCAGACTCAGCCCACATATTTGCAAGCTCGGGATCTTCATCCCCTTTGTGATGTCCTCGGGCAGCCATACGACTTCCTCGAGTCTTGTGAAATTAGCTGCCGCTACAAAGAGTGGAAGAGCCCAGCTGTATGAACCAGAGCTGAGAAATGCACAAACGCTCATGCAATGTATCAGAAACACCTTTCACTTCAAGCATGTAACTGAGTGAGGCACCATGCTAGAAAATGCTGGAAAGACTCTACTTCCAGAAAAAGTGCAGATCCCGCTGGCATAGGTGTCCACGTATGCTTTTATGGGAATGCCAAAAAACAGTCAAGAAGAGCCCCATCACATGCACAAGACAAACTGCTGCCAGGGCAAGGGAGACAGCCATGCCATTAATGTCCTTGTAAACGGTTTCCAAACTTAGCATAGCCACAAAATTAATGTTGCCCAAAAGCAAACGATCACGGCAGTAGCACGAATAAGCAGTTTGCAGTAACTATTACTGACACTCATGTTACTGAAGCAGAGGCCAAAAATAAAAGCACAGTAAGCAGCACAGTGTTATCTTCCCGGGCTAGGTTTCTGCATGTGGCAGAAGTCCCGACCTTCCAAGCTGAACCTCTCCCCTGCTGGCTACAATGCACTTTCTTTTATACCTCTTATTAGGGTATGGAAGTGGCATGTAAACATCACTCAGCTGACTGCAATCCTTCTATAATGGCTAGAACATTGTATAGCTTTGAAAAAAACACAATGAAACATAACGGTCTTATTGTTACCCATGAATACCAGTGTATTGTCTCTAACAAAAGCTAGGATAAAGACTGAGGACACAAGAAAGCAACAACTGGTTATTGTTGTTGCAGTTTTAAATAGCTAGGGATTGACAGACAAAAGTTTCCAATAAGGAAAAATTATTCCAGCAGGAACGTGTAGACACAAACAAATTACGTTTTCTCATTCTGTATTTCATTATACTAGTTGGTCTTTAAACTTGATTTCAATGCCTTAATACAACAGTTTATCCACTTTCCTTCTCCGAGCCGGCAAAAGGCTGGTTCCACATAGGATGGGGTGTTCAGCACAGGGAAGCAATGGCTGAGAGGTATGTAAGGCTTATCATGGATTCCTGCTTCAGCACGAGCCCACTGTGTAACACTACCAAAAACTATTTGTCCTGTCTTATATAACTTTGCACACTTCTTAAGGAACTGGAATTATATTTATGATGTTCAGAAGGCTGAACTAGACAATCTGGTGATCTTTTCTGGTTTTCACTCTACATTAAAGTAATGAAGTGGAAATGCTCAGATTATCAGTGATAATAATCTGATAATCAGGGGGGTTGGATAATAATAATAATAATAATCAGGGGGGTTGGACTAGATGACCTTTGAAGGTCCCTTCCAGCCCTAACCATTCTATGATTCTACGATAACACAGAAAAGGCATTCAACAAATATTTCTACTGCACCATGTAGACAATTTTGTGAGTATACTCCAGTATTAATCCCGGAGGATGCATGAAAATTAGGCATGTTAAATCTTTAGATTTAAATAACTTGCCATCATGTACAAAAGAGGAGCTAGCTGGGATCTCTCATCTACTGATATAGGTTTTCAGAAAGTTTGGAACAGAAGAAAAATCCCAGAGAACTGGGAGAAATCTAACGTGCAATGACACTCCTGAAGTACATGGAAGTACTTTTTATTTTTTTACTCACTGCAGTGAGTTTGACACCAGTTCTGGGAAAAAATAAGGAATGGCTGATTTTGAGCTCCATTAATACAAAATTAAAGGAAGCTACTATAAACCCACAGCAGTTGTAATACTGGCATCATGTTGTAATAATTGCCTTGGTATGGGTTTAAGAAAAATAGACCTTCTCAAACTTCTGAAGATTATCTTCTCTATTTTTGCTAATGACGAAAATCTCACTCTGACTGGTAAAGTTTGATAAACCGGTGGTGTGAGACAATCCTGTAAGGCAAAATTTTTTATTAAGTAACCCCAAACGGATAGTTATCAAATGGTTTAACAACTCAGTGACTGACAGAAGTCCATGTGCAGCTTAAGGTAAGAAATCATAAATGAGTGCATGGGCTTCTAATGGGCAATCTCATGGAATACTTATTGTCTGACTGATTTGTTTTTTTCCATGACATGGAAGAATACAGAAAATAATTATTAACAGCATTTAGAAAGGACACAAGAAGAAAAAGGGGATGAGGTCAAGTCACTGATAACAATTTAGGCATCAGTTATTAAATTGACTAGAAGCAAACAATATGAGCCTCATTATGTTCAAACTTCAGTATGTCTAGTTATAGACATAATAACAACAAAATGCTGAATACCAAAAAATGCAGGACTCTGCTCTAGGAGTCTATAACTCTGGGGAAGAACGGCAGGTCTTGGAGAAAAATCAGTGGAATGACAACTCTCCAATTCACACAATTCTGGAAAGGAAAGCAAGAGCTGTTATGGAGGATTCATAAGACCACCTTATTTCTATACACGCAGGGGCACGTTACT